TTGCCCAATAATGGGAGTAACACATGAAAAAAATAATAAAAAGAAATTTTTTCATGATCATATGAGTTTGCCGGATAATAGTATATACTCAGACCTCTCTAAATGCATAGCCAAGGGACGGCCAAAAAATCTTGCATTTAGAGAGGTAAAAATCTGTGTTATATAAATTGGGGCCAAATACGCAGTGTTGGCATTTGGACTATGTCCAATAAAAATTTTATTTAGACTTGGACATGGCACAGGTTGAATCAATGAATATCGGGTGCATACCGGGAGGCAAATTTCCCAATAGTCTGCCGTAGATCCGTCAAATACTTGCTGAATATCAGCAGCATTTTGGCAGCACATTAGTAAGATATCAGGAGGTACATCGATATTAGCAACATAACAGCAAAATATTGGTTATCCCGATATCTTACTGTTATGTTACTGATATCGATCTACCTCCCGATATCTTATCAATATGCTGTCAATTCAGTAGGTATTTTGGCGGATCTATAGCAGACTATCAGGTACATATCAGGTAACTTGTCTCCCGGTATGCACCCGATATTCATTGATTCAACCTGTGTGGACTAGTCTCCATGTCCAAATTTCGGACTTTTACCCTAATTTGGCTTATTCTTCCGAAATATTCCTGAGTAGCAAGCCCGAGTGCTTGATTTGCCTTATGTTTAATAGAAAAATATAGGCAATATAGACATAGTTCATAAATGTCCATGTCAATTAGGGTGATAAATCGACTAAGTAACTATATCAGGGGTCTATAGAATTTAGTATTGCAGATTTTCATAATTTTACAATGAAAATCAATTTATTAGTTTTATTATTATTAAGCGATATTCTAAATGGTTCAACAGTATTCAGACCCCAGTATTCAGACCCCAGAACATTTTGCCATAGAATGTAGAATCAGTAAAACAATTTGGACAGAAGTTTATAAATTCCTGAAGATCCAAAATGACCCGATAATACTGAATACCATAGAAGATATTTTCACAAAAAACATCACACAAAAAAGATACCACACAACAGCACAATGGCTAAATATAATAGCAATCTACGAAATCTGGTGCTGGTACACCAACACCAAATGGGGAGAATGACAGACCAGAAACGACCATTCCGGCAATCATAAATATTAGGGTTGCAAGAGAAATCAAGGCACTAAGCCTCAATTTCTCAATCAACCGATTAAGTAAAAAAAATTGTAATTACCTACACTGTAAATAGACGAGTTATTCATTAATTAATGATAAAAATACGCTACCAGAGTTCCGATTGCTAATTATAGCACTGAAAAGTTAAAAAAAAAAAAAAAGGTTCAACTTATTACCAAGACATCAAACTACCTTGAAACTTTCACAAGTTGTTTATAAAATGTCTAAGAATAAAGCTATGTTTCGAAATACTTTATTAATATGTAAGTTTGGGTATTTGTCTTGTAGAATGTTTTAAAACTACGTTAATTGACGCGAAAAAATTTTATCTTAAATACCAGTTCAATTTTAATTAGAACTTTGCGAAAAAATCAAACTTTGAAATAGTTCTGACGCAGCGTTTTCAATTGAAAGGAAAAGCACAATATTTGTGACTGATAAAAATCTGATCACAGTAAAAATTACTAATATGCCTGACATAGTTTTGATTACCTAGTTGATTTATCACCTTAATGTCCAATGGTCCATATTGTCCATATCCATATTTTGCCAACACTGCAAATAAGGCCATGCGCTTAGAGAAACTATGCATTTAGGGAATATACATTTAGGAAGTCTGACTGTATATGATATAAATGGCGATGTCTTGATTAAAAAGTTAATAAAAGCAGTGCGACTACTATAAATATTTATAATTTATTACGGTACCGTTTAGCACTGCATACAGTACCTGGGTCTTATTCAAGAACATCATTTTTTAAATTGAATAGTACCTGTGGGTACTGTGAGAGGAACTGGGTACTATATGTGGGGATATAACATAAGTTATATATGATGAAATAATAAACTAAATATAATTTTACCAAAGGGGTATTATTTTTAGGGGATACTTTATACAGTGCAAATTTTGTAATGATATATATACAGTATATATTATTCTATCTATTATAATCACTATGATAATAATTTATTCCTACAGTATTAGTGATGTTGGAACGTCCTAAACTATGTGATGAATAAATTGCATCTGGTATTTACTGCTTTATTGTTATGATAGAAACTATGATTATTGCATAGTTTAGGACACCCAAAAAAAATGGAAACATCGCTAATTCCTATACGTATATTCAATAGCAAACTAAAAATTTCACTTTTACTGTTACGGGTGTCAAATTTTTATTAACTAGGAAACGGGAACTGTCGGGTCCGGAACCTAGATATTTAAATATTTTTTTTAGGTTGTCTACCCTTGGTTTTTAAAATACTCTTTTATGCCATCATTCAAGTCTTACTTAAGTCAGTGATGACATGTGTTTGAATTCGAACTTGGCAAACGGAAGTTCTAAAGTCGCCAATAAGCGAGGTTGTGGTTATATGATCTTTTTAATGTCTAGATAAAATATGTCAAAACAATTGCATAATAAAATGTGAGATCATATAACTTGACTCCCTTCGCTCTGGACAATAAAAAAAAGAAAAAATCCGAACAAAGTAGGTTAGTATATCCTAATAATTTTTTATGAATATTTTATGAATATAGAATTTTTATTAAACTTCTATAATTATTGCAAACTCATGTATAATATAAAATATTACAGTATTAATTTTTACAATGATAAGTTTTTTTTTTTTTTACAAATTATTTGTTTAAAATAATATTTAATCTTGAAAACGTTCTCTCCACTTTTTCCCCTTAAAATATACGATTACCATGCAGGAAGTGCTCAATATAATAAAAACTGTCAAAAGGGTATATAATAAACCGGTACTCAAAGCGTTTTGAAGCGGTATCGAAACGAGAGACGTTATTGAGGCTGCTATAGATCTGAAACAATTGTTTACTGCTATAGCTGAAGCGCTTCGGCCGGGAAAAGCATCGATTAAGTATGTTGATGTTCCATTAAATACTATCAATGTACCAAATCCGACTATAATTATGCCCAAAAATTTTTTAGAATTAAGAAATAGTTTACAAAAAAAAAAAAAGAGTAGAAATATTATGAAAGTGACGTACAAAAAAACATAGATAATATAGGTAAAGCAATATGAACATTTTTCACAATAAACCATCCATAAGCTAAAAGTGAAACTGGAACTAACACTGATCCAAGCCAAATACTGTTTATTCTTATTTCTGGACAAATATTACCGTATTTTTCTCTACTTTTAGCCAATAGGGAATCCGAATAACTTCCAGATATTACACTTCCTAAAAAGTATCCAATACCAGGTGAAAGAAGCACAAGTCCGACATATGATGGTGACAGATTAAATTTTGTTGAAAAAGTTATTGGAACAAGGGTATTTTGGACATATATCACTGCAAAAATCATACTTATGTAAAATATTGGTAATGATAAATTTGGATAACGAAGTAAAGCAAGCGATAAGAGTGGATTAAACCGCTTTTTAGGAGGTGGTATTGTAGTAAGTGACAACTGGGTGGGACGAAAAGTTTCAGGAAGTGCTAAGTAGATGAGGATTAAAATGACACCTCCATATAATGACAGAAACAAAAAGATAAATCTCCATCCAAGGTATTGAGTTATATAACCGCCCATAGCTGGACCAATAACAGGTCCCACTAAAGGTCCCAAGTAGAACCATCCAAAAGCGCGTCCACGTTCTGAACATGACATACGTACGTACAATGATTAATACTCTGTTATATTAAATAAATAATGTTGACATATGTCACGTGCAATTTTGAAATAATTTACCCGTAGGAATGAATATATCACTTATAGTTCCAGCACCAATACTTAGAACTGCAGATCCGCCAAAAGCTTGAAACGAACGCATAACTAATAACTGCCAAATATTTTTCGACACAGCACATACTATGCTTGCAATGACATATATTATAAAGGATATTAAATAGACCCTTCGTCTTGTTTCGTGGGAATCGGAATATGAGGCCCATCCAAGTGGCTGCAAATAAAATATTTACGTGATGCAAAACATTAAGTGTTTTTAACGTATCCAAAAAGAAATACAAAATAAAAAAATATATAAAAAATAAATAAAAGCATACTGTAATGCCCATTAATAAAATGAAAGTCGAAACTGGATAGTTAATGCAAATAATTAGATGTTTAAAAAAATATTATTATTAAATCAATGAACAAAATGGTTTACTTGCTTATAGCATTGGCAAGAACTTGAGAAGTATTCAAATCAACGCCAATTTCGATAATTGCCGGAAAAAAAATTCTAGACAGAACAATCAAAATTTTAATTCAAATTTACTGGAATTTACTGATTCAAAAGAACTTCGAAGATGATGCTCACGTGCCAGAAATAGGGGAGATTGTACCAGCCGCTGAGATAATGAATACTATGAACTGTTTTTTCTTTATCGACCAATTCGTTGGATCATTTAATGAAGTTTCGGGGATTTGAACTGATTCTTCAGTTCTTTCATATTCCAATGAAGGTTCATTTTTACTATCATGTGATTGATTATTTTCCATAGCCATTAGATTTTCTGAAAAAATTCGGTTAATACTGCCCTATAAATACCCCTTCATCAAAATAAAATTGATTACTTTTTATAGTGAATTCATGAAATTCAATCAAGTTTGAACGACATAACGATAACATTATGAATTGCTCATGAAGATTTTCACCTATGATCTTTTAGTATATGACAAATAACACATATATATTACTTAATATGTTGTATATATAAACATATGAATTCTTTATATAGCAAGCTATAGTAAATAGCTTTCTTTGGCAGATTCTCACCAACACATCTAGAATGTTATGAATAGTGAATATTATTTTTAAAAATTACCAATAAAATTAATCTTAAATCAATAACTTTCCATTAGTGTGACATTTAATACAGTATTAAACACGCGGTTAGTTTTTCTCTTGATAAACATTACGTCATTCTAACATATCGATACATGTATCATTTTACAGATAATTCACTTTATAGATAATTTATAGACAAGTTCATTTTAAAGACAATTAATCTACTCAGTTCATTTCAATTTATTTACAGAAATTCATTTTATAAACAATTTTTAACAGAAAATCGTCTATTAAATAAGCTGCCTGTAAAACAAATTGTCTATGAAATGAACTGTCTGTAAATTAATTGGTTTAATCAATGAATTGATTGTCTATGAAATAAGATGTCTGTCTGCAAGTGATACGTATCGTCATATGTTGTACCTACCATATGTACCGTCATGATGCAAGGGTGGTAACAGATGTTAGTTGCGGAATAAGGTGACGGTTGAAACGGTGGATAAAAAAATATATTTGAATTACCTCTACAAGGTTTCATTTATTCAGTAAATTTAACGTTAATTATGTAACCGGCGAAGAGAGCCGTAAAGTCCAAACACAGGGCCCGGAACAGTTTCACGTGCCGGCGATGCAGAAGCTTCAACTAGAAGTGACAAGATATCACTTTATTATGGATTCAGATTCGTACTCTATGAAGCAAGATACAAAATTTTTAATTAACGTTTTTTCTCTTGGCAATTCTCGTATTACTAACTAACCAATCAGATTTGTTAGTATAAGTCATTTTGGCTTTGTTTATTATAATAATTATATACTGTATATATGTGTTGGGTGCAGAAGTTCGTTAGTCAAATTCTTAATAGGTCGATGCAAACCACGATCTTAACTTTTATATGGCTTAGACTAGTAGTTAAAAAACACCGTGGCTTTCTTTCAGTGTGTATGCGAGTACCTGATATGTACGCGTACAGAAGTACGTATATACGTAAGTATGCATAACTAGGAGCTGGAAACTAGTGTAAGTCCGGAACGTAAAATATTAAAATTATATTAAAACCTAATTAAAAATATAATAAAAAATTTGGATTTATTCTAGTTCGTAGTTGTATATACAATAGTATTATTGGTAAGTACGTATATATAATATTATATATTCGACCAACTAGGACAACTTCACGTGTTCTCGATGATCACACGCTGTTATAAAAACAGTGTTTTTCGCTTCGCTCCGGACAATTAAGCCTCCATATCGATGTGTTTGGCAGTATTGTAATTAAGCCTTATTGAATTTAATTATAGAAGTTAAGAGCGCAAAAGTATAATTTAGATGCAAGATATACTTCTAAAGCATAAAATATACAGTACAATTGGGCTGCTATTAACAGAAAATAAGGAAGAGAAATAATTTATCACCCAAAAGAATTATTTACTCTTTTATCTTTTTTTTTAGAAAAATCTAATTTTAGATATTAGCAAATTATATTAAATATAAAATTATATAAGAAATTTTTTTTGTTAAAAATTTTTTGTTTTTTAATATTAGAGGTGTAATACGTACTTCAGACTTTTATTAATATTTAAGTTAATTGATATTTGGTGGTATCATTAATATATATATATATATCCTGGTAGCACTACTTGTAACACCCAACAAAAGAGAAGTAGAAATAAGAATGGATAGTAGTGCAGCTATATTTGCAATCAAAAAAGGGCTTGAAGCAAACAAAGCAAGACAGTGGCTTAAAATCAAAAATGGTAACCTGATTGTAACAGTAGTAGAAGTAGTCAAAACAAAGCAACTAACTCTACATCTCACAAAATCAAGAGTTACTCAGAAGATATTTTTAATGATTTGGCAGATTTCAAAGCCAAAGAAGATGCAAGATCCACAAATGATTTAGCAAATTTCAAAGCCAAAAAAGAACAAGATTCACAGAGCTCTTAACTCCCATAGCACTAGACACAAAGAAATTTAAATTAAAATATAAATAGGCAATGAAGTTATAGAAAAACTAATATGCTTTTTTATCAAAATGTTTGGAAAAGTTATAAATAGAGTTGAATGGATATTTTTATATAATAATTAGAATATTATACATTCAGAAAGAGTAACTCTACAATATTGGCTAATTTTCTATAAAATCGTGGAGAGTAGAATTAAGCAGTGTAATTACATTTACAGATCAAATACAATATAACTTTTCAAATTAAAGTATATAAACAATGTTTTGCCAGTATTTGAAAAGCTCAATCGAAGAAAACCAGGAATATACAAAACTAACAAATATATTATATACAAAAAGAAAATGAAAAGTATTAAACATCTAGTAAGCTATGAAGTATTAATAAAGCTAATTCAAGATATCGAAGAGCAAGAAGTAAAGTTGACTTTTAAAGAAATGGAAAAAGTGCAGAATATAGATAAAAGAAAGAAGAGATCCTAATTATAATAGAAAAAGAAAGTCTTATTAAAGAGTCATAAAGAAGACAGAAATAGATAAAGAGACATCTATAATTTATGTTAAACCAGTACAATAAAAATAAAGACTTGAAGATAGTATTGTTTTTGTATTATCTTTAAAATCTCTATAATAATACTGATTTAATATAAATTATAGACGTCCTCTAAGAGGTTTAATCACAAAAGAGAACTTCACTAAAATACAGCCAATATTTATATCCAACAAACAAACTAGAGATTCATAGTAAGGCTTTGGAAGAGATATACAAGGAGATTTGGGTTGAAAGATGCAAGTTAGTACAGAGCTAAAAGAAAAAAAATAGTATAATATAAAAAGAAAACTGAAAATATAGCATAGATACCAAAAGAAAATAAAGAAAGAAAAAAAGAAAAAGAGAGCAAATAAAAAGAAAAGCCCAATAGATAAGACCCATAAAGAGAAAAAATAAAAGAAAAAAGCTGAAGTAAGATGAGAAACTGTATTAGATATAGCGAGAAATGAAGTTTTAGGTTAAAAAAAGATAAACAGAAGGCAGAATAGTAGAAAATAATTTAGTAATCTTGACAGGCCATAAAAACCATCCAATAAAGTATTAATAAACTTGTTTGCAAGATAAATCAATATAAAGATAAACCTTCCTATAGCAGGTCATACATAGGTATTCACAGAACAACTAGATAAGCTGACACTTGTAACTTAGATATCAGAGAAAATAGCCCTCTGAAATTTTAATATTTCAAAGTATAATATTATTAAACTTAATAAAGTAGAGACAAAACACCTGAAATTATAAAAATAATATTAATATATATATATTAGATATTATATATAAAACTAAAACTAATAGTTTGCAACAACTCTTCCTGTTGATCACCTGGACCAAATTTTTAGCTAACAAAAACCAATTTTTTGTTGAAGAGTCATGGCCTAACTTGCGGTTTGGCAAAAGGTTAATGGTTTTCTCTGCCCAGGACTCCTCTTTAGGCTATTCGGCATGCAAGCCAAGAGCATTGGTATTCAAGATAACTGGCAGGTGATGCTCTTGGATAAAAAATCTTGATGGAGGAACAAAGAGCTTTTCTCCATCGACGAAGCTTTTAGGCTATTACTTTTTGGAAAAACACAGAAAAAACAACAAACAACTTGAAATTTTAACACACTTCTTAGAAAATTTTAAAGTTCTTGCAGCCATACACCCTCAACCATATTCCTGCTGGGTTTTAGATTTTTTTAGGAAATTTTTGCTAACAAAAAGTGGGAGAATTGGCTTACCCTCTCCAAAAGATCTGTATTGTTTACAAGTCCCGATGCGGAATGGGACACTCCCAATTATGATAACCAGTAGTATGTGTTGTGCTATTTTAGTACTGGGTAGACTGCTATCGGTAGAGTACAAATTAGGAGGTAATTAAGAGTCATAAGTCTACATGTAGGATAATAACTAACATCGATGCGAAGTAGAGGATTATCTAAGAATTTCCTGCAGAGCTAACTCTACCCCGAAGGTGATTTAAATATAATATGGACTTTATTTAAAGTAGAGCTAAATAGAAGAGTATTATATAATTTTTATAACAACCTG